ATTGCATGCATGTAATATATAAAAATGTATGTCAGCTCTGATTCAGGGGCTCAGGAAGGAGAATGGACCTGCTGATGGCACATTTCAAGCTTCAGGAAAGAGAATGGAATTGTTGATGTCTTGGACAGGGATCATGTGTATTTAGTTGATTACATTTCCTGTTTTCACCAAGAACTTTTGAAGTCCCCTCAGCCTGTGAAGTGGCAGACACTGCATAGCTGCCTCCAAGAAAATTATGGTTGTTGCTGCAAATTGAATTCCTACTGTATTGAAACTGTGTTTGAGAAGTTGCTTTCACCCTTGTGAAAACTAATTTCTTACTCATTGTTAAATTAAGGTAAGAGCTCCTGTATCTTTATTAGGTCGTGTTGGAAGATGCCTCTGTCACTCAGTTATCTTACAGGAGTTGCTCTCTTCTGTAAGAAAAAAACACCACATATTTATGTGTAGGGTTCTTTACCCATAAAATATAGTTGTCCTAATTTTGTAAGTTGTACCATGAATCCCATCTGATTTCTGCAAGCAGTTCTTGCTCTGTATTTGCATTTGATATGATGATGTGATAGTTACTTGGTTTCTGACAATCATCCCTTTGCTTTGGGCTTTATCATGGCAGTGGTGAAAGTTTGAACTGAAAAGGTGATCCCATTGTTGTAATGTCTGGTGGTCAAAACTGTGTAAGAATCAAAGTCATATATTGATCAGGCATGAAACAAACTTTCATTAGTTAAAATACCCACTTAGAAACAAAACAAGGTTAGAAGTGATTAAAATATAGATAAGCAATGTTTTCGGACTTATATGGTCACACTGATAGTTTCATATTCCAAGGGTTTTAGCTTAGAGAGATTTTATACTTTGGACTAATCTTTAAATAATTTAGGATTACATAATTCCATTTTAAGAGATTATGTGAATTGATGCAAAAATGAATTCCTAATTAAGTTGACATTGAAATATGTAGAGGTGAATTGTCCAGCTTGCATTCTTACCTGCAAATTATATTGTGTGTCATATGGCCTGGAGTCACTTATGAGTCAGGTGCATATAGAGCTGGAAAGTGACTTTTCAATACTGTTATGTTGGCATTCTCCTTTGAGTTCTGGCCAAGGGTATTTTGTCTGTTTATATAAATATCCTATTTTTTTGAGTTTTATTGGTGTTAGTAATAGAAGAGAGGTTCGTGCACTGGTCATAGGACAGTCTCTTTCCATAGTACTCACTGTTTTTGGCAAGGATCACTGGAAGAAATGTTTTCCACTTTTAGAACTTCATTAAATATTGATATAAAATCTAAGTAGATCTAGTGTTTCAGTCAGCTGCTTGCTCACTGACTTGCCTGAGTTTCTCCTGCTGTAAAGTGGCTGCAGGTACAGAAGAGTGGTGTTCTGTCATTTCCTACCACTGAAGTAGTTACAAGTCCCACTGTAGTAGCCCAGACATCACATCCTGTTTCTTTCTTTGTGGTATTTGAGCTAGAGATTTTCTCTCTATATATATATATATATATGTGTATTTATTAAATTTTAAGTTGTTTTTTAAAATAGCTGTTTACTAATTCCTTTCGGATTCAAGTCTTTAAGGACTTAACAACGTTAAAAGCTCACAGGTGAAAAATTCTTTCAAATGTTCACAAGTGTGTAAGGATGAAAAATAGTCCTTTTTATAATAGTGTGTTCACTGCAGCCCCTCTTATCTATTGCTCTGGCTGGCAAACAGGGATGCACAGGAAACAAATTAACAAGTAATGACATTCCAAAAATAGAGCACACACATTATTTAGCAGAGGAACAGGACACCAACTCCCAGTGTGTTCCACTCTGACCATCCTTTAACTGAAAGTGTCCTGTCATTTTAATAGATGCAGAGTGAACAAGGCTCAAGTTAATTGTCATGTGTGAAAAATAGTCCAGAAATACAAAGTGCTTACTAAACACTGCAGGGGAATTGGTAAAGGAAACCTGACAGGGCCTGAAACATTAGTCTGCCTAGGATGGAATGTCTAATATGAAAAGGAGGTGTGCTGAGGGAAGGTTATTTAACATGTTGCGACAAGATGTGCTTAACTGGCTACCACATTATAGGTGGCACCTTTTTGTGTTTTTGTTTTTTTTTTTTTAACTGAAAGTCCTGATTCAGTGAAGTGTCTGAGTCAGGTGTTTGGCTGGGTGGGGGAAGGGAGGAGAAGAGTGAAGAATGATTAAAAAGTGTATGTTCTGGAATAGTATTTTATTAGTTGTTATACTAGATTAGCATAGTGATGTACCAATACAATTAATATAATTTCCTGTTTGCTTCATGATATAAGTATAGGTGCTTTAATCTTAAAAGGTAATGAAAGGCTCTTTAGTACAAACTAGTTGCAGTACACAAAAAGCTCTTTATTAGCTCAGTGTACATGAGTCTCATTATCTGTTTCAGTAGTTTCTTCACTGCACTTTCAGATTCACAAAGCTGTAGTTAAGGGTCAGTGGCATTTTTTATCTGCTGCATTTCCCCCCTCCCTCAGAGATTTAACAATATGCTGGTCTTATGCACTGTAATTTAAAGTGTAGTATCTTGTATTTGATTCCTTTTTTAAACAGGCACATGAATTATCTCTGAAACATTTAAGGAAGAGTACAAATGCTACCCTTTTTATGTCTTTTAAAAGGTAACCATTGTGTTTACCATCTCTGGCACATTTGACTATGAATATATATGTATATTTTTAACCTGAAAACAGCGTGGCTTTAGCTGTCTAGCATTTTGTTGCTGTCTGTGCCACAGATAACAATATGGCTTGTCCCTTAGCCAGCCCATCAAGACTCCACTGCTGTACCATGTGTAAACTTAAATTTGGTAGCCAGGCTGTGTTGGATGCACAGTTTCTATATGGTGTGAATTGAGTATCTTTGCAGCTCCTGAGGGTGTGGAAATCAGTGGAAGGTCGGTATTTTGAGCTCTCTGAGGTCAAAACATGCTGAATGATGTTTTGGTTTGAGCACTCTCGGGTTCTGGTTGAGTTTTTAGACAGGAAATACGTTCGTGTGTTGAAAGTTGTAGTGGTGTGGTGAGATCTGGTGGGGGAGCGACTGCAGGGCCCCAAATGCCAGGCTTGGGAGAAAAATGCTGAGTGTGAGACTGGAACTGGCTTCGTGCCTGACTGTGCACCTGATAACCTCAACTAGTTCATGTGAAGTGGAACAGAACACAGTGCTGAAATAAAACATTTTTTGTATTTAAGATATTAAGAAGTTGGCTGTTACCTCTGTATTCAGAAGAGGAAGCAGGTAGATTTGGAGTAGGGGCAACAGAGTTGAATGGTCACCTTTCCACATGTAAGAGTTCGGGCTCTGATTAGCAAGAAAAAGTCCAAAAGTTATTGAAAAAGATGGACAAGTTTTATTTTTTCATTTAAATGTTGTAGATCACAGAATAGAATATGCTGAGTTAAAAGGGACCCGTCAGGACCATCGAGTCCAACTCCTGGCAGGGACACCCCAAGAATCACAGTGTAATGACTTCTTGGATTACAGGATTTTAATATCCCATTTTAATTATAGTAGTAGTAGCTTCAAGTCTGATTTACTTTGAACATAGACAGAATTTTTCTCTAGCATATTTGCTGTTACCTTTTTTGTTCACTGAAGGGGTTTCATCCCTACATCCCAAAGTTGTTTTAATTTCATCCTGGTCTGTAAAACAGAAGTGAGGATATGTGTGTAGTTTGCCCTGCCAGTTTACAGTTCTTTTAGAAAGCTCCTCTGCAGCATTTGTCCAGACCAAAGAGTGCAAATTCTAGTCTTCCAAGAGCCTTCAGATTATTCAGAAGGTTACTTTTTAGTTGCTTTACTGTGGGACTACTCTGAGAAGTTATTTTCTATCTTCTACTTAAACAGCTCAGATATTGACATCCATGGTATTAATATATACTTGGGAGGAATATAAGGGGAATATTCTAAAACTAATTTAAATAGTGTTAAGAATTTGATGTGGTCTTCAACTTTATAAATTTTCCTTCTCTGTCCCCTTGCATTTCCAGTCATACAGAATCCTTTTGATACTTTTGCATCTTAAATCTTCCCCCTTTAAGTGACTTTGTGCCGTTCATCCTCCTGCCTGGGTCAGCTTCTGCTTCTCAGTGAGACTCTTGAAGATTTTTTAAATTTTTCTTCCTTTTTTTTTTTGTGCTTTTTTAAAGGGATGGTTAAAAAGCAGACGAATGCATATGCAACCAGTTGATAGGAAAAGCTTCAACTTAATTTCTTAAGAAATTAACTACTCGAATAAAATTCATTTACCTGCCTGCTGGTGATTATCTATTAAGTAGTCTGGGTATAAGTGTCAGTTTTTAAACTCTCAGTTTTGAGTAGGACTGCGGTGTGAATGTCTCATAAATATTTCCCAAGAGCAATTTATTTTTCTAATGAGCTTGAACAGCCTCTGCCTCGTGTAGCACTTTAAAGGGTTTTCAGAAAATCAATTCAGTCACAGAACTGTCATTTAAAACTTTTCCTTAGTTACTGTAATTCTGGATATTCTCAGTACCCCATTAATTAGTACACTTAATCATACCTTGTATAAAATGCATGATAATATGGGTTAATGATTCCTAGAATTTCACAGAGAAAGAGGAACATGAGTGTTCATAGCCCTGAAAACAGTTTGATGTTCTCCTGTAGAATTATGTACAAGCAGTTTGTACAGACTGACACAGAGGGGCTGCACACTTAATTTTACTTGCCAGTCATGTCTTTTCAGAGTAATTACTTTGGGAGTGTGGCTTTTCATATTAAGATTTAAAAGTTACTAATATCAAACATCAGTAACAGTTTCATTATTTCTTCCAAAGTAGCAAAAAAAAATATACATTTAACATAAATACTCTTAGTTCTCATGGAAAAGAAAATCTGCCTTACTGGTTGGCACTTGTGATGTTGATATTTTGAGCTATTTAGGATATGGCAGAGATGACAGTTAGTTGCAGTTATATACTGTATGTTATTTTTGTTTTTCAGGATGTGACTTAAAATGACTTCTGATTCTGAAGGTCCTCTGAAAAACACGCTGTGCTTGAATGTTTGCTAAGGACAAGTAAGTGACTGATCTCATAGTTGAAATATATATATATATACCTGAAAAGTTATTCCCTTACTGTTTTTAAAGCTACAATTTAGTATATAAGAAGCATATTCTTAAAAAAAAAAAAAAGGAGAGGGGGGAGGGAAAAAGGAATAAAACCCCAAACTTATTGCACTGCTGCCAGAAAGTGAATTTTCTGTTTATTTTCTTATGGCTTCCTATCTGTGTAAGTGAAAACATCATTTGTTTCTATGATCAGTCTTATAACAAAGGAATCTTTGCATAATATCAAGAATATTTTGACTCAGAAGTTTCACTGAAAAGCTGTGATACTTTTTACATATGTTTATTTGAGGGAAATATAAGTTTGAAATAATGAATTTCCACCTAGAATACAGAGTTGCAGAATGGAGTGTCCTCTAATTTTATTTATATCAAATAAAATTTAAATATTTGGGGCTTCTCTTAGCACAAAACAGTTAGTTTATTGCAATTTGCATCTTATGAAATGTGTGACTTACAGCTTGGTTTTTAGGAGAGAGGATTATATTTAATATTTTAACATATAAAATAAAAAAAATTCCAGGCCATCTTCATGATTCATTGAAGAGAACTTCTTTAATTCTTTGTAATTGGCTTATTTTGAGTAATGCTAAGAGCCAATTTATGCTTTTTTGCCAAGTGCATTTTCCAAACAAGAAATCATCTCAGACAGAAGAACCTCCAAGCATGCAAGACACCACAAGTACATATATTTCATCTAGGAAAAACTTCATGGTTTCATAGGGCCAGCAAAGTGTTAAAAACGCTTTCATGCAAAAAATATTATTTTAAAAAGTATTTTTATGTGTTTTAAATTAGTATTGTATAGTCGTGTGTGTGTGTGGTCAACTGTTTCAGCTAAACAAACATAAAAACTAAATCTGAAGCATCTAATTGTGTTTTTGGGCTCCTGTTAGGACAAAACCTTCCCAGTTGCCATGTTTTTTTTGATGAATAGTAGTAGAATACTGAACTTTTTTGGTCTTAACAGTAAAAAGGCATAAAAACTTTCACTTTTGAAAGCTATGTGTCAGAGCTGTCTATTGAAATAATTATTCACTTCAGGAATACTCCTCAGAACTTCCAAAATTGGGTTTCTCTTCGGAAAAACTTTTTAGCCCCTTAGAAAGTTACAGGCTCATCTTCAGTGAATAAATGTAACACCTGCTGCTTTTAAACTGGGGGTTTCTTCCACTATTAACTCACTGAATAATAGCTGCTTCTTTGGCAAATATTTCCTGTAGCTGGGAAATTAGTTTGACTGTTAACAATTTGTACTGTGAATCCATCTGTGCTGGGAAGCAGCTTCTGTGATTTCCTTAGCTAAACAGTTACAGAGTTGTTCTGGGCATGACATGCCTGCCCAGCTTGGAATGATATTCTTAGGAAAAGGGAAATACATGTGCAGGAACTCTGCAGCTTCAGGCCTGAATAAACCACCACCAGCTACTTGGGTTTAAGAGCAGGGAAACAGCCTGTGCAGATCACCTGTTTTTTCCTTCCGTGTCCAAGCTCTTATATGTAGGGACTGAACAGTTTTCTTAAATAGAAGGGTTGTGCTCTTTGATATGTATCATGTTTCTGAGTCCAAATGTAGTAATTTATGGTTTTCTATTTACTCATATTATCTCTCAGTACAAGTAAATGCTAAAACAAAAATGACATTTCCAATATAAATCATTTAATGCGACCCTGTAACCTTCAAAATTACATTATCATGAAATGTCTGTCCCAGCTCAAATTTTCAACTGTTTCCTCCTCTTAAACAGAATTTACTCTTGGCTTCAGACACACTTGCTGTGCCCACACCCTTCCTGAGCTTGCCTTAAGACTTATATTTTAAGCTCTTCCTTTCACTTTCCACGACAGCTCTTAGCTCTGCTCTCTGTCTATACTCAGATGCACTTACATATATATATATATATATATATGTGCTACTGCAGTGCCAGGGAGGGAAGCAGCAGCCCTGGAAGGGGGTGTGTGTCACCCCCAGCGTGACTGAGGCTCCAGCCTTAGCTGGGAGCTCTGTGGGCATAAGACCTTATGAGTCATCTCTTCTGTTGAGTGTCACCTTCAGATAATCAGCTGCTTTTTGCATGATGTTTCTATAATCTAGTTTTTTTTTTTACAACTGCTCACTTACTCAGATGAGTAGTTTTTCGTTCAGCTGCTTAATCGAAGGAAATGTGATCCCTGCAGTTTTCGGTGCTGTACCGTCATCTAGTGGCACAGCAGTGTATTTTTCCTGGGCCCTAATAAGTGTATTGGAGAGCTTTTTGCCCTGCAGGAATATCTGAATGAATAAAGGTCTTCAGACTTGCTCTTCCATCTCTCTGTATGTTGGGTTTGTCTTATTCATCCTGGTTTTGTATCAAATATTTAGGTGTAAGACCAACTTCTTACCTCTGCAGTTCATGCCCACAGTACAAAGTGAGGCATCTTCTGTAAGTCTTTATTTCAATTGTGAGATTGTGTTTTACTGTTGGTTTTAATTTTATTGTGATATAAAAAATATATTATCCTTCCTTTCCTAATGCATATCTCTGAAACAAATTTTTAACCTTTATTTTTGCTTACATTGACACAAAGCTTTATAAACCAGTGTTTTGGCTAAATAAAAGTTAGGTTTTAAAGAAATGGTAAGCAAACATTCTTTTTAATAGCAAAAAGGTATATTGATTTCCAGTAAGAATGCTGACTTGTAAATCTGATAAAAATAAATGACTTAGCTGAAAGTTCTCTGTATTTTGAGTTAGTGTTTCGAGAGGTTCATTCACAAATACTATTTTGTTGCTTTTAGTTGCTGATGTATGGTCAAAATGAGTGGATTAGGAGAAAACTCCTTGGATAGCTTGACCAACGAGTCGAGGAAGCGCAAGCCATTGCCCTGTGATACACCAGGTGCAAGGTAGGTTTATGTGGAACTTCCTCAGTTTCAAATGAGTTTTTAAAAACCATTTTTGAAGTTTTCATTGCAATTCAGAGTTATTTCTATCTGAGGAATTTGTTTAGTTGAAAACTTCTTCTCCTGCGAAGGTAGGTCACTTTACTGTTGTGTGGAGGTGTCCAGGGCTGATGAACTATGCTTTATGATTAGACTCTTGTGGAAATTTTAATAGAGTGAACATATCTTAGAATGGCTCATACATCATCTAGTTCCAGTCCCCCTGCCATGGGCCGGGACACTTTCCACTAGAAAAGGAATCACTGTTCGAAGCTGTGATTGCAAGGAAAAAAATTAAAACTTCTCACTTCACAGGAATTTTAAAGGCATTGTCTTATATCTGGTGATGGATTTGACAGGCCTTATTTCAGGTGGTTACATTCAGCACAGAGTTCTGCAAGAGGCTGAGCTCTTTTTTTCTTTGTTTGTACTTGTGTTTCTTTGCAAGTTCATCTCAAATTCTGGCATTCTGTGTTACCTTCTGACCCCTCACCCTGCTCTGGCAGATATTGGTGGCTGAGGGACACAGTTTTCTGTTCCCCTCGAACCTCATTGCTCTCCACCACGTTAAGTGTTCTGTGTTATCCTCTCATGTTCTTCTTCCCACAGAGTATTAACTCATATTAAATTTGTCTGCAGTTTCTCCAAGGTCCCAGGCATTGTGTGTACTCATATTTGTCCCTTATAGATACATCCCCACTGTCCCAGGCCATTTACCTTCATCATTAAACAAATTGTGTGCGAGATCCTCAGATTCTTCCACCATATCCCAGTGTCTCTTTATGAGAATCCTCCATTCCAGTTTCTTTTTCCCTTTCTCCAGTGTCTGTCTGTCCCCATTCAGGAATTCTGTTTTTCAGATTGTCACCCTTCATTAGCTTTCTTTATCTTTCCAGCTCCTGCTTTGTCATGTATTTGTTTTCTCCAGTATTGGTCCATGAATACTTTCCAAACTCTTTCACTTGGTTTCTTCTCAAAGAACATTCACTCTCTTTTGATTGCCTTGGTGTGTCCATTCTTGCCCCTTCCCCGAGTCCTTCTTTTCCTGCTCCTGCTGTGCTGTGTGTGTAACATTTCTCCCTGTTGATTTAGGCTGGAGACAATGTCTTTGCTCAGCACATTAACCCATGTAGGAAAAAGGAATTTCAAAGAGAGACTTTATCCAGCAACATTAGGTTGTCTGGGATTCTGCTTTTCCTGGATGTTGAGATGGCATTTTTGTCCTGATGCCTAGAAATTTCTGAGGTATCACCTTCTGTAGTCATCTCTTTGCAAGCAAACTGAATAGAATATTAATCTTTAATAGAATATTAAAATTCTGTTTCATTTGTCTAAAATTTTTAAGCAACTCTAAAGCAGCTTCTAAGATTAAAATACACTTTCTGCATGAGTGCTACAATTTTATTACAGGTAATTGCTCTTTTCATTTACTTTGACAATACAGAAAACACAGGAGGATTTTTTTTTTTGGAGGGGGTTGAATAGCTTTCTTATATCCCCTTAAGGTAAATTTGTGCTTAAAATTCTGTAAAAAAAAGGCAAACCAAATACAAAACCCAAACCAAAGAACAAACACACACAGACCTTTCACAATTCCTGTTTGCTGGAAGAATAAGAACTGCCTGGGTTTAAGGGGTGGGTGTGACATGGAGTACACTGGAGTTCACAGAGTGAGCCCAGGTTTTGTTTGGGGTGCTATGTAAACATGTGAAACAATGTTTTTGATTCCTAGTCTGACCTGCAGTGGTGAGAAGCGCCGGCGTGAGCAGGAAAGCAAATACATTGAAGAACTGGCTGAGCTGATCTCTGCTAATCTGAGCGACATCGACAACTTCAATGTCAAACCAGACAAATGTGCTATTTTAAAAGAAACCGTGAGGCAGATTCGACAGATAAAAGACCAAGGTACAGTCCTCTGCTCGGTCAAAATAATTCAGTTTTCTTGTGATTCTTTTCTTGAAGCAGTTGTTATTTGGGAAGCTGAGCAATGGTCTTCACAATAGCATGTAACCGAGCAAGTCTTCGGACTTTGACTTGAAGCAAACCTTAAATATGTCTGGAATGATTTCCAGGTTCAAAGTACTCAAGTGTTTATCATCGCTTTTTCTTATGAATCAGGTTTTAAAACTTTGTATGGCCTTTCTTACCAGTTTCCTGGAAATACTAGAAAAGCTTAAGCTAGTGCACAGACAAGGTAAAAAAAAGCAGATGGTACTGTAACCATCTGCTTGTACAATATCCCAAATACCCACTGATATGCAGAATACATGCTGTTGCCTTTCACTTCAAGGAAATGTATGCTTTTCTTATGGGGTAAGCCTCCAACCAGAGATAGTGACTTTTATTGCCATTTTTTCCTGTTATGTTTTCTCGTGCTGTTTATGGCACCTTTCCTAAATGATAAGTATTGGATGCCTCTATATATTTAAAACACATCTAGATTGAGATCAAATAATTAATTAGTGTGGTTGACTGTGTTCAGTATAGAGTCAGGTCAACAAAGGAGGAAGTAGCAGTGCATCATACCTTGGTAATTTTTGTCAGCTGGGGTAAACCTAAGTGGTATAATATGTTTTTTTAATGAACAGGTGTACACAAAACCCGTGTTTTGAAATGTAGAGCGAGGGGTATGTGTAATTTTGTTGTTTTTTTTTAAACACCACCCCACCCACAACACCACCTCCAGTGTCTGTAGCCTCCCATGTGCCATTTGGGCAGTAAAGTATTAAAAAAACAAGTATCCTACAGTGTATTTTACCTTGTCACATCTTACAAAGACATGTTAGAACGATCACAAAAATTCATCTTCTGTTTTTAAGGTTTTTGTAGTGTCATCCAGTGTGTTCTAATGCTTCATTACAGAGTTGAGTACATGATAGTC